ATTTGCCACAGCTCCTTTTATAGCATTAAATGCTACTGTGTGAACATCCCCCCCACTCGAATTTTTTCACCGGGAGTTTCATGTTTTTTAACTTTTTCTTTTGATTTTCTTCTTTAAGAAGTGGTCTTAATTTTTCAGTCAGACTGGCTACGTTAGGTATAAATTTAGCTAAGTGATTTATGCTTCCTAGAAATGACCTTAGTTGTTTTAGGGATTTCGGCTGGTTCAAGTTTACTACGGCTTCCGTTTTAGTGATTTTCGGTCTAACCCCTTCTTCTGAGAGATGGTGACCCAACCAATTCACTTCTTGTTTAAAAAATTCACATTTTGAGAGTTTCAGTGCCAAGTTTTCCGCATCCAATTTCTTTAGTACTGCTTCTACTAAGTTTGCATGTTCGATTTCACTTCCCTTTGACACAATAAGTATGTCATCCAGAAAACAGAACGTGTTTTTAGCGTGATTGATGGTTCTATCCATAGCCTTTTGAAATTCAGCTGGCATATCTGCTAGACCGTAGAACCCTGTCAAGAATCTGTAAGTTCCAGTTGCTTTTCCACCCACAATGTTAAAATTGCATTGTCTAGCTGTATCAGCAGCCAATTTTAGTTGACTGTACGCATATTTCAAATCTAACACCGAAAAATATAGCGTACCCTTTTTGTTTTCAGTTACAATCTGGCTTACCCCATCAATAAGTTCATCTACATTCGGCATTTGGTATTTGTTTTTGAACAATTGTCTGTTGATTGGTTTTGCATCCATTGCCAATTTTATTGAGTCGTCCTTCTTTACTGTTATCACAATCGGGGCGATAAAGCAATCACTTGTACATTTATCAAGTTTTGTTATATGACCTTCTGTCAATAACTTCTCGATTTCTTTTTCGACCTTATCTTGTATGTGAATTGGGATTCTTCTCCCCTTTTCTTGAATCGGACATAGTGGGTATTTGAATTTTGAACTGGCAATGTGATTTTTTGAAATGCCTTGCCTTTCAAATAAGTTTTTAAATTTTGTGAAAATTTTTTCTTTCCAACCTTCTGACTGCTCGCACATGAGCACGTCGAACCTGGTGAGTTCTTTTGGCGCCGGTCTTTGTGTAGTCACTATTCCCACTTGTCCTTGCAGATCTAATCCCATGATGCATCTAGTTTTTCGTTCTGATACCAGAAAGGTTGCGCCCTTTACCTCCCAGCCCGCTGACCTCAGATTGGTTTTCAGGGCTCCCAGGATACTGATCGGTTGTTTGTTGTAATCCACGAATTTGGTTTGTAAGTTCAATTTGTCGGACGGTATGAATCTCACTTTGTTTGATTTATCCATGATTTCCTTTGTCGTGGCCCAGTTAAGAAATGACACAGGACTTCCAGTGTCCACTGTTAATTGAATTATCTGGTTATCTATTCGTACCATGGCTTTTAGTGATTTTACGCGATTCATTGTTGGATCGCGAATAGAATCTATTTTCTGAACTCGTATCACTTTTCCGTTTGTGTTGTTTCTCATTTCGTTGATTCAATCTTTCACATATTTTGAAACTCGCTCATTTTCCGGTTGGTAGGTTTGTATTGACATAACTTCAAATTCACTACATGACCCAACATTTTCACTGATCTGGTCGCATTCCTCTACCGATCCTTCCGAATCTTCCGCAACTTCACTTACTTGTTGGGATCTGCACATTTTGGCGAAGTGATTTGGTTTACCACAGTGTTTACAATTCTTCCCCATCGCTGGACAATTTTTTAGATGTCCCTGTTCAAACGTCCTTCCACATCTGTTACATGGTTTTGTTTTCGTGTTTTGAGTTTTGTTATTATTCTGTCTGTTATTTGTTTCTCTTCTATTTGGAGTTTTGGTTTCCCCCCCCCCAAATTTCGAACTGCCATTACAGGTTCCTGTTTTATTCTCACACCCGATGTGTAATTGCTACTTGATCCTCCTGTAGCCGCAGCATTAGTCTTTTGAAATGCCTTTGTGGTTAACTTGCTATGTTCAAATTTTATAGCCCTTTTTAGAACTTCCTCTGGATTCAGAGTTTCGAATGTCAACGTGTCCTGCAATGTCATGTTTTTCATTTTCGAGATGAACAAGTCTCGCACTATTTCATTTTCCAATGTCCCCAGTTCTCAACGAGCAGCTTGATCAGTTAATGCTGCGTGGAATGATTCTAGCGATTCTCCAGATTCTTGCATTCTCGTAAATAACTTGTATCTTTCGTATGTTACACATTTTACCTTTTGAAATGAGACTTCTGCCAACTCTGTTATTTCTCTGAACGTCATTTTCGATATTTCTGCGTGCGGATTCTTTTGTAGGAATCTCTTCTTTCCCTCTGTGCCCAAAGATAGAAATAATCGTGACACCAGTTTCTTTTGTACTTCGTTGTAGAAGACATTGTGTCCGACTCGTGGGCCTCTTGTTTTTCTTTCTTCGTTCTCCAATACTACTCTGTCGCTTGCTAATTTATCTCTAAGAATCCTAGCGTTTCTCGCATCTTCGTTCTCCCCTTCCCTGGGCGTTTCCGGGCGTGGTGGTGGTTCCTCTAATATGTCTTTTGGTTCTTCCAAAATAATCTCTGGGTTCACATTTTCTTTGACCGTAACCGCCATGAGAAATTGTTCGAACCAAATTTTGAATTGCCACGGAGGGTCTAGATTCGCTGATGCCCAAAATACCGGAATTCCCATATCCGTTCTGTTGTCTTGAGCTGCGAATCCTGCTGGCTGCGCCATGTGATATGCGTTGCGATATCAATTGAAAACAAGTTGTAATTCAAAACTGTATTCTGAATAATGAATTTAGATTTTCTCTTTTCTTGGTTTCTTATGTACTGAGAGATAGATCATTGTTAAGTTCTCTGATCTCTCGCTTAATCTCAGTGTCAACACTTACGTATGACCTTGAGAATACCATAAATTAATGATTGAGCACCAGAGGTTAGATGTACATACGTATAATAAATACTGCTACTGCAGTAGCGGTATGACACACTCGATATTTGTTTAATATAGTTTCTCACTTAATTTACAATTAAAATCACTATCAACACCAGATTCGTCTGCTTGTCATTCACCATGAGGTCAAGTATGGCATCTGTTTCAAAAGCCAAACTAATGAGTTTTTCCAATCTTTATAGATTTTGTCGATTTTCATCGCATTTTTGTCATTTTAACGTTTTGATTAGATTAGTACTGAATTTTTTTTGTTTTTGTTATCATAGCTGGTGTTAAAAAAACAATAAAACAACACAAGCCTTCGCTTACCGATTGAACAAAAGCCATTACAGCTAGTAATTTAAAAAATAACTGAATGTGGACCACTGGACTTCTTTGCTACTGAAAAATTTGTTCATTCAAATTTGCACTTTCGAAATAGGGTGCTAATGGCAGCATACATGATAAGTTGAAAGCAATTATTCACTTTCTTTCAAGAAATCAATTGTTTTTGATAGTTTTTATTTTAAAAAATTAGGTTAAATTGTTTTTGTTTTTCGTCTGAATAAAATCAATTAAAGTAATCATCAAATGCTATAAGGCACCTGCTCGTCGCTCTTTCCTGAAATTTAAATTAACAATAACAATACGTAATCATAATATTGATTAAATTTCAACTGTTTTTTTTTAAATTAATTTTTAAAAATCAGTTCACAGAAAACGTTGAGGTTACAAATATTTAATGGAAGTGTTTTTAATTTTAAATTACTATTCAAGTCGCAGATTGCAAAATATTATGAATATCCAACATTTTTGGAATTACAACCTGGCCATCTTGGATATAAAACAAAAAAATTTACAAACCAAAATATTTTGTAACCGGAAATGCTAATTGTCATTAGGATGAAAGCACCAAATTATGAAAAATTTAAGCGACCACAAACGTCTCAAATTGTATTTTCATCATGTTACCTACGCAGTTCAGGCCAATATTTTTCAAAAAATGCTCTGGTTATGGGCACTCATATATCAGAGTTCTCATTTGTCCCAGACATGCATGCTTTTGCTTGCGAACAAACCTTTTAAAAAAGAATTTGCGTCTCTTGACTGGAAATTTGCATTGCATATCAAAAGCGATTGCAATTTCTGCTGATTTGATTTAGGTCAATATTAGATTTGAATAGTCCTGAATTTATTTGCTTTCCTTTAAAATTTTGCAGTTGCAATTCTAATCGGCTAGCATGATTTTCCATCAAGAAGAATTTGACCCAACCCTCCTCGCAAATTGAAACGTTTGCTGAGCAAGCACTTGATGTACTTTTTTTTTCAAGTTAATCAGACAGCTTGAGCCAAAATTAAGATGTTTTAAAATATTTTTACTTATAAGTAATTAATGCTATCAAAGTCGGTCATTCGATAAGGTATAGCTGCTTGCTTGTGAAAAAAGTTTTGCTTTCAAAAATTATCTGGAATTTGATCTGTTGCTATTTTGAGTAAATTAACCGAAGTTGATGATTCATTAGAGGCGGGAGAAACGTGCAGGTGTGGAATTTCCATCCGATTTTCCATATCTTCGCCAAACTTTTTCGAAACACTTAAATAAGGCTTTAATAATGCCGTCTGAGTTACCAGCCGACGTTCTTGTTGTTTTAGAGAGGAAGAGTTAATATGATTCTGAGTCGGAATATTCTGAGTCAACCCAATTTAATTCAAACGAAAATTAAAAATGAAAAAAGAAAATAGATTTCTCGTTCCATTTTACCCCACCAATTCTTAAGTTGGAAAAAAGGTGATAAGTTTTGCGTCCGGTAAAATGCTTTAAAAAGCAAACTGAGTGACCATAGAGTTTTTTCAACCATAAAGTATGCTTTGATATATCGGTCTCTTTTTGCGGAAACCTTCAATACATACAAATTTTGCCAGCGGAACAGGGTGTTTTTAGTGCTTTGGGAGAGCTCCGAAAATCGATTTAGTCGACAAAATTTTCAAAAAAAAATTGTTTCAAAATCCTCCCCTCCCCCTCGAGAAAGTGTCATTCGCCTATATCCGCCCTGCTGCTATACCTTTTCGCCGGTCTCGCAGGGGATGATGAAGTTGAAGATGCAGAGGAAGTTGATGAGGATGGAGGGCAGGATGACATTGAGCATGAAGTAGGTCGGCTTCCTCTTGAACGAGAGACTGAACACTATGCAGCTGAACATGGTGTCATTCGCCTCCAGGCTCGGATCTGCACAACAGAATAACAGTTTAAAGAAGTTTTCAGAGAAAAAATAATTAAACGAACATGAGTGAAACTCAGTTGCTTGATTTCATTTTGTAAGCAATGGCAAAAAACTGCATAACTGGTTGCTGTACAAGAAACACAGAACTTTTCGATCTAAAGTATTGTTTGGATACATTTCAAAACAGATTAAAACAGGTTCTTAGAAAAAAAATTTCAAGAGAAAAATTAATGTCTTTGATATATGATTGCAAGAAAAAGACATGGTTGCTAAAATAGAAATAAATTTCAGATCAAAAATCATTTTCAATTTCTCAAATTATCTATATTAAGCCGACGGTTTATGAAATATCCAGTATTCGTTTTAATTGAAGCAACGCAACGCAACTAAAAAAGATATCTTAAGAACATGAAAAAAATTATAATGTAAAAACCTCATTGAATATCCTCAGACCATTCTTTCACGAAGAAAACACTGGTATAAATATTGAACTTTTCGCGCCAAAGCGCCGTTGGATCCTTCATTAAGAATTTGATTTGTTTCATAACCATCAAAATTATGATTTTTTTTGTTTCTTATAAAAATAATATTGAATTGACGGACTGATTTACGATACGTAGTGGAGTGAATAAACTAATACTAAAACGGGAATTGAAACAGTGTATATCTAAAGAATACAGCAAACAGCCAACGTAACCTGAAACTAAAGTTCACGTCAAGTCACTGGATTTGGGGGATAACTTCATTTTGACTGGAAACTCAACAACATGCAAGGAAGGCGAATTTTTGTACCGCAGTGAAACTTGCAGTGTATAAGGCCGGGTATGGAAACTTTTTTTATAGTGGTTAAACAATAACCAAACAAGCAACCGTTTTTCAGCAAGTAGCACAAATTTTCCGACCACAGATATATGTGCAAGAAAAGTATTTAAAAATAATTTTTAAAACTCTTTTTCTAATGTTTGTATGATTTTTTGAGTGGAGCGAAGGGTTAGAATCACATTGACTGATAAGTTTGTTGAGTCTGAAAAGCAGCAATTTTAATTTCTCGGCACTGACTCTGACTAAGAAAAGGTTTCCCTACGAAAAAAATAAATAGTTGCCGGTAGCTACTAATTCTCTTGCTATCAAAAATCTTCATAAACTTCAGCATAATTGTTATTAGTCTGGAAGCAAACAATCACCAGCAGATTAATTAGAAAACTTGCGTCAAGAACTGTGAAAAAAAAATCACACAAAACTGATGTCGACACTCCAGGAAAAAAGTTGTATTTGATGTGAGATAAACTTAACTAGTAATTGAACGTTCACTTTCAGATCGTCAAGGCGTGTGTTTGATCCCCTGCCATGTCACTGAGACCGTGTGAGGAGGAACTCTCATTTGATTTCCAGCGTCTAGCACAGCTTGACAAGTTTCAGTTGCAAAAAATGGTATCAAAAAATGTCCCTGGGACCAAAAAACGGCCTTCAATATGAATTTTACCGGAAAAATTGAAAAACAGCTTAGCACTACAATTCACCGGGAGTGTTCAAACAAACAATGCAAAAACATAAGTTGCAAATGAAGAGCTTCTCACTCATCAAAAAAACTCAGTCGAGAATGTGGGAAAGTATAGGAACGAACTATTCTTAGACAAGCTATTCAGATTTCAATGGATTTTCTAGGAACAAAGTCAACAAAAAAAATAACAGAACAAGGAAACCGAAAAAAGTGACTGACAATTTTTGAACATATTTCAAATTTCAAATTACAAAAAAAAATTATTTCACGTTCAAGCTCTTTGCATTTCAGATGCTGTTAACGAATTGCACTTTTTTTGTATAAATATCCCATTCAGACAAAACTGGAACAAAAAAACTTTTTAATTACAATGGGAACTCAGAAAATTAAAGCCCATTTTTAATTTAATCGAAGCCACTTTTGCTGTTCGAAAAAAGTGAAAACGTGAAACTAAAATTGTTCACGTTTTTCGTGGTTTTTTTTTCGTAGAGTTTGCCTTCATTTAAAAGAGGAAATGAAGTGAACTTTAAAAGACATCATAAGTCAAACCGCGAAAAATTAGATTTGAGCGGGAACTATTTTCCTGAAAAAAGTCAAAAAAATTATCAAGACCTATTTGAGTGAAAATCAGCTTAAAAAAAGAATCCGGAGTAAATGAGACCATATTAGTAATCAAGAACTTCGACTCTAACCAATCTGCTCCCCCCCCCCCCTTGTTGACCTGACCGCCTGTTGTTTTTTTTTCGCGTATAATAAATCGCGTCTACATTTGAATACTAAATGGCCTCGAGTTATCGCCGCGCAACTTAACTTCCCTCCCTCGTTAAAAACACGTTTAAATGACGACAAAAGATTATTTTTGTAATAATAGTTTTCTATTTAATATGTACCTTTTATTTGCTATTTTACAACAACTTATCAATTAAATATTTTTCTCCTTAGCGGCAGCTTGCAATCTGGCATGTGATCTGTCGTTTCCTGCAGAGGATGACAGTTATTAGCTCCACGAATTCCGGCCTCCCGGCCAAAAAGTCAATAGACGAGACAGGTCAAACTGCGATTTAATCTGGCAGCCACTTACACTCGAAGATCACATTGTGTAGAATTTGCCATTCGGAATAAATTGGAATAAATTAGGTCGGAGCAGTTCAAAAATGTTCAATAGCTTCTGATAAATTGGCTCGAAGCTTTTTCCTATTTGATTTTGTTTAAACCAAATTTGTATAGGCTAGACAAGATCGAGAAACAATGTTTTTTTTTCTAAATGCTAATTAAAAGCTAATCATTACAGCTGTGAAAAGAACTGATTCAGTCCAGTTTTTGCGATATCTTGAAGCTATTTTTCCACCACCTAGAGTTTGGAAGTTTTTTTTACTATTTAACGAGCAATAAAGACGGTTTTTCTTCCTTCAAAATACAATTACAAAAATGAACACTAATGATAATTCAATAATCATATTAGCAAAAAGGACGAATTAAATATCTAGGACTTAGGATTGAAAAAAATTGTACGTTCTTTTTACTTTTATTTGTTCTACGAAACCGAGCTTCATAAATCACAAGATGATCCTATTTTGGCAAACGTTTTTTTGGCATCACAGGTAATTTTTGAAGGAAAAAACAGGCCAAACATGCTTATTTGAGCCGTTTTGAAAAAATTTTGACCAAAAAATTGGCGGGTTTTGACGCGCACAAGCCCTTCAAGTTTATGAAATATTGGAATGAAAAGTGCTCATAAATAAACTTGTGATTTGCCGACTTGTCATAAATTAGTCCCCAAAAATAGACCTTTTGAGTTTGTGTGGGTCGAATCCTGAAGGACAGATGCGTTCGACCTGCTCTCCTCGCTAAATCCTCGCCTGTTACAGACTTAATGAGTTTTCGACTTTATTACTGATAAAAGCCTAAAAGTTTTCAAAAATTACTATTTCAATTTCAAATCTACTCTTCGGTCTAAAAGCATAATTTTCCAACCAATTTTGCTTTACAGAAGAAAATATCCAAACCTTTATTGCATCTCGAATTATGAATTTAAAAAGTTTTTTCTCGTGTGTGGCTCAAACACAGCTGACTATCATTGTGGCGCCATATCTTCACCAGGGGCGGATCTAGGATTTTCTTGGGGGGTGGGGGGCGAATTTCAAAAAAATTTTGAAAATTTTGTCAAATTTTTTTTGTAGGTCGACCGAAATGATTTTCCGAGCTCTCCCAAAGCACTAAAAAGTTTTGGTCAAATTTTGTGCGCCCCAGGTAAAATTTTGAAAAAATTTTTTAGGCACTTTTTAGAAAATTTTGACCAAAAACATTGCGTTTTTTTGGCGCGTGCTCCTCCTCAAAGTAAGTATATATTGGCGCCAAAGGCGCCTTTAGAAAATTTTTAGGGTCCGTCACCAAATATGGATATCTCAAAATAGTACAAAAGGGGGACCCTTTGGGTCGGCAGGGAGTCGAATCCCTGAAAAGAGGCGTCCGCCCCCCCTTCCGCCCCCCTCCCAAGTCCGCCCCTGATCTTCACCTCAATTTGGTTAGTTGGATAAAAAATAGAGATAGTAGCAAAAAATCAACAATATGAAGTCAGTATATGACAAGCAGACGGGTCGGATCCAGACATTGACTTAAATTGTCAGCTAAGTGCGGAGTTGAAACAAACAAAACTCATCCACTCCAATTAAACGGAAATTAGACTTCATTTTTTCTTTCAAAACAAACCATTTGGACGAAAAGCGAAGGCTATCAAATTTTGATGCTTATAACAAAATTCACTAGTACAAGATCTCATTGTATATCAAAGTTTTTATAATATATGATTCACCAAATAGCAATTCAAATAAAATAAAAAACATTTTTAAGATGCATAAATTATACAATTGCCACATGTAGAAAACTGATGATCCTTCAGGAAAAACTGAACAAAAGTTATTAGTAGTCAGTAATCAAATTTCAGACACAATAACAATACATTTGCCGCTAATCTCCCATACGTGTAGTTTAAAAATCATTTTTAGTCACGTCTATTTTGCTTGTCGTCTAGCTTCCTAGGCCCCTGTTTCAGCAGTTTGTTCTCTCCTTAACTATCTAAGATTCCAGTTTAATGCGTTTTCTATCTGTTGCACTCGTTGTTTGTTGTTCCAACTTTTGAAGAAAGTGGCGGATTATTTGTGCTCGGGGTGGTTTTGTTTTTCTCTGGACAAATTTTGAAATTTAAACTAACCATTTTTCATGGAAATTTTTTAATCCAGCCAAAAAGTTATGTTGTGCTGAGCTCAAATTAAAAAAAAATTGCCTGTAATCCTTTTTTTTTAAAAAAAGCTATGAGGTTTTAAAGATGGTCAACTTGGGATAATTAACGCTCGAATTGTTTTGTGATTTGTGATATTAAAGCGTCAGCGGAGATCGTTCCAAATCGTTCCAAATTGAATTGAGGCATGCTATTTCACCTATTTAGTACTTTGCTATAATCTAAATGTATTACTTGGTACTTTACATAACATGAAAGGAGATGAT